AAAAAAAAGCAAAAATAATGCTGGAAGGGAGGAAAAAAATTGGAGGACTCCCAGTTCCTAATTTGAAACCCAATTTTGTTTTTTCAGAAAATATTGGGTCTCCCCTCTGCATTATTAGGAAAAGCACCCTAAGCTGCTAAAATGGCCCCTCTGGTCTACAGTAATAACCCATCCTATTATAAGTAGATGCTTTTACAAACGAAATCTTAAGAGCTAACGGTCATGATAGGCATTCCTTACACTAAATTCCATTCTATGTAAGTTATCACAGCAAGGTCTAAGTTATTTAGAGTGCCAACTTTTCGTTAAGTACATGAATCAGCAGAATTTTATTTGGGGAGTTACTAGAACTAAGGCAAAGTAGAGGACATGAACCATATTCAGATTTATATCATTTACACTGAAAAAATGCTGCTGGTAATTCACATGACTTTAAAATTAGCTTTGTGTTTTCAATTTCTTTTCTTTAAAGAACTGCATATACTTACCTGAAAATGTAAAGAACAACTCATTTTGCAAACCAGCTTTTTGCATTTTAACATGATGGCATTCAGACTTCAGTAAGGAAACTTCACAGGAAAGGGCAAGAACCAATTTGCTTAAAATCTGAAGAAGTTTCTTCTCAAAAGAAATATTATAGATACTATTGCAGGGGGCTGCGTGATACCGAGCTGTGAACTGGTAATAAAAATGAGGCTCACGATAAGCTGTAAAAAATTGAACACAGAATAACACAAAAATGGTTATTTAGGCAATTCAAATATATTGCAATTATTCAAAAGAAATCATTAAATGGAATAAATTCGTAGAATATATATATATAATTTTAACACTTATCTAACAGTTACTAAGTGACAAATGGTATTATAGACACTTTACAAATATTAATAGCGACTTACTTAACATCCCTAACCTGATTTAAGAGTGTTATTATTTTTACATCCATCCTGAGAAATTTAAAGAATGCAGAGATTATGTCACATGCCCAAGGACTATGCTGTCAAAACGAAGGTTCTAACCAAGGAGCCTGGCCTCAGAGCCTGTGCCCTTCACCACTGTATTATGCTGCCTCAAACTCAGGAATGAAACTTCTGTTTAAATATCCATCTTTGATAAATTAGAATCATTCAATTACTAACAACAAGCAAAAAAAGTACGTATCTAACAAGTCCACAAGTTTTATTGAATGGCATTACAACATCTGGAACTGAGAACATTTTTTGTCCTATTCATTTCAAAATCTCATTGAAATGACACAAGAAACACAAACACGAATAAGTCCCTAACAATAATAGAAATCCGAGAAGTGTGCCTCTGAGATGCCCTGTTGCCACTCCTGCTAATGAGCAGCCCTCCCTGCTTGCTTCTGGTCCGAGGCTGAGTGCCCCCCACTCCCACTGCCCACTTTCCCAACAGCTCATTTAGGCCCGAATTCAGGGCACATGCTGAGCTACTGTCAAGCTTTGTGTGCAAGGGACAGACCAGACAGCTTCTAAGTGCTGAGCAAATGATCCGTTTCATTTGCAACATAAATGAAAATCACAGACTATCCCACCCCCAATTTCAAGGAAACCAGGGAGGTAAGGAGAAACACGAACATGTGGATGCACATGTCCCCTTGAAGTAGTGTTTTAGGTTTCCTTGGAAAAATACCCAGAAGTGGAGTCACTGGGTCCTTCTTTGTCTCTTGTTTTAGCCTTTGTTTTAAAGTCTCGTTTGTCTGGTGTAAGTCTTGCTAGCCCAGCTTTTTCGTTTGTTTCCATTTTCATTAACTTTTCCCATCCCTTTCAGTCTGTGTGTGTCTTTTGATCTGAAGTGAGTCTCTTGTAAGTGAGTCTCTTGGAGGGGGTCTTACTATCTTATCCACTCAGGAAAGGGCAAGGGAAAAGCAGCTAAGTCATTAAATATTTTTTTTCAAATTCTAACTGGTAAAGACAGAAAATATATCCACAACTATTATAAAGCTTTCTTAAAAGAGGAATGATTGGTAAATATGAAAAATGTTCCTGAAAAATTAAAAAACACAAACACAAAGTAGTGAAGTTCTCACATAGCAGAGAGGAAAAACTCAGATACAATCTTCTACAAGTGAAGGGAGAGATTTAGAGCAGAGATCCCAATATCCAGGGTCAAACTGAAGGAGTTCCTGGAGAGGACAGCAGAGGGGACAGGAAAGAAGGTAATAAAGAGACAAACAGAAAATGTTCTGTAAAGATGAACAAAGATTTGTGTCACCAGGCCAAAAGGCCCGTTAAACAGTGACTAAGAATACTAAAATAAGTGTCACATTGAGACATGAATCTTAAAAATCTACCATGCTCAGCACAGGGAACCTTGCTCCGTGCACAGTAAGAACACAAGCCAACAGATATAGATGATAGATAGATAGATAGATAGATAGATAGATAAATAATATCACTTGTAGATTACATAAAATTTTGAAATTTTAAATTATCCTATACTTAGGATAAAAAAGTCAATCAGCTAAAGGAAAACAAAATAGAGAATACAACGTATCTGACCCAAAATTAAAGTCAACAAGGCTGTATATCTGTCTATGTACAGCTCTCTCAGCAGTTATTCAGACACACACACACAGGGAGCGCATGCAAACAGCAAACTTCAAATAACCCATCGTGACCAAAAAATGCACACTGCACCATAAAATACCATTATGAACCTACTAGATCAGCAAGAATTCAAAATGCAGTATTGAGGGAACTTTAGGAAATGAAGTTCCCATATGCTACAGCAGGGACGTAAATTGGCATACTCTGTGGAGCAACTAGCAGAAGCTATCAAAGTAATATTATGGATGCTTTGTACAAGGTTTACCTTATAGAATATCCTACAGAAACACTAACAATTTAACTTTCCTAATATCGTCCCATAATGCAAAGCTGGTGTGTGTGTGTGTGTGTGTGTGTGTGTGTGCACGTGCGTGCTTCACACAGACAGATGAGAGAGAGAGATAGAGGTGGATTTCCTTAAATGTCCTATACAGTACTGTTTGAAGGAGGGAAAAATTGGAACAAACTAAATAATCAACTGAGGAATGCTCAAATTAGATCTGAAATACCACATAGCCATTACAAAGATTAAAGCGTGTGTTTATAATGAAATAGAATAAAGCACCCAATTTGTTTTAAGCACAAAACTGGCAGGTTTCCAAAAATCCATTGATTGGATGAGGCTTCCTCCTGCTGGCATTGCTAAGTACGGTGCGTATCATCAAGGATAAGAACATCAATGCTGGAACCAGAACCCTACACTCAAATCTGACTCTCCCCCATTCCAGCTGTGTGGCCTCAGCGAGTCACTGATCACCCGTGCCTCAGTTTCCTCATCTACATAATGCAGAAATGTCAGTACCCACTGCACCGGTTTGTCGTGAGGATTAAGTGAGCTGAATATAAGTAAACCACCTCGGACAATGCCTGCATAAGCATGTGCAGTCTCTGTTTTGTTGTTAGTACAATTACATGTAAAACGCAGCACTGCCTGGAGCACAACAAATGTTCAGTAAATGTCAGCTATCATCATCATTACTATCAACCAGCATTCCTATCAGGTACTGTTACATTTGTCAGCTTACGTAAATATACCCTATGAGTGACTTCAAAGTATATTTGCTATAAACTAGATACAGGAAATAACAAGATGGAAAAAACTATGTAACAAGAATGAAGTGTGACTGATTAAAAAGTTTGTTAAAGAAATTATTTGCTACCATAACAAATTACCACAAATTTAGTGGCTTAAAACAACAAAAATTTACTACCTTACACTTTTGGAGACTAGAAGTCCACAATGAGTCTTACAAGGCTCAAGTCAAGGTGATTTCCTTCTGCGAGATCCTCTAACAAGGACCATTATTCTGGGCCCACCCAGATAATTCAGGATAATCTCCCCATCTCAAGATCCTTACCTTAATTATATTTGCCAAGTCCCTTTTACCATTGTAGGGTAACCTATTAACAAAACCCCTTTAAAATAAACCTGCTAAAATATCCAAACATTTGAAAACATGAAGAAAGGTTAAAATACAAATAGGAGCACCTCTCACCGTATATAACATATTTTAGCTGGAGATTTTTAGCACCTTCTTCCACAGTAGGTTTATACTCAAGGAAACAGGTGTAAACACCCGTCATGCCCTCCTCGAAGTTCTGAAACACGAGGCTTCCTGTGGACGTGACTTGTGTGGTGCTGTTTCCTAATAAAGGAATAAGATACAGTAATTAGTTGCTTAAATTACATGAAATTGAGGTGAAAATAAACCAAATATTTTCTAAACGAAGTAAAACCATCAAAATTTACCTATAGAATCATTCAAAAGAATTGGGGCATAACTACTCATTGTGTCTGGTGTTTGTTGACAGTGGGTGCCAGGATGACCTTCTCAGAAACAAGAAGGAAGAGCGTTGGGCGCACCTGTGAGGGCTGCACCCCAAGACCCAGGGACACTGTACCTGCAAAGACTAAAGCTCAATCAGAACGATGGAGACCACCTCTCTCCCCCAACTGCCCATCACGAGCAGGAGTCTTGTAAACAGGAAGTGGGGTCCTGACAGAAGAGCTGCGAGAGAGAGATGCCCGAGGAGTTTAGAGGAGGGCCCAAGCCCACAGACACATTAGACACCGAGGACTTGCAACTTCTCATGAACCCGCCCGCACTTTCAACATTTTTAAGGGTATCCAAAGCTCTCAGTAACCACAGCACATAAATAATATCAAACCCAGAAAATTCCTGACTAGATTAACACAAACTCCTAATATAAAAGGCTTAAAAGTATTTTTAAAAGTGTTCATCTTTCAACATGAAAATACTTATCTCAGTATCTACTGTTTTATTCAAGATGTCCAACTTTAACAAAACTTTAGCAGGTAAACAGAAAGGTGAGAAATGACACAGGTCCAAAATACTAAGCAATGCTCAGGGCAAGGCTCTCAAATGAAATAGATGTCAGAAGTACCAGAGAGTTCATTTGAAATAACTATGATTACGTATTAAAGGATTTAATGGCAAATGTACACAACATGCAAGATCAGATAGGTGATTTCAGCAGAGAGACTGAAATTATAAGAAACAATCAAAGGGAAATGCCAGAATTAAAAACAAAGCAAAACAAACAAAAATGGAAAAAAAAAAAAAACCAACAAAAACAGTAACATTAAGTATTCCTTCAATGAGCTTACAAAAAGTTTCACACAGTTAAGATAAGAATCAATGAACATGAATGTATGTTAAAGAAACTACTCAACCTGAATAACAAAGAAAAAAATGAAACAAAACCAAAACAAATGACAAACAAAAAAAAAAGAAGAGGAAAGAATCCTAGCGCTATGGAACAATATCAAACAGTGTGACTGACGTATGTGTGCCAGAATTCACAGAAGGAGAGGCGGAACAGGAAGGGACAGAAGAAATATTTGAAGACATAATGACTGAAAATTTTAAAAAATTAATAATAAACACCAAATTACCGCTCCAAGAAGCTTAGAGAACACCAAACAAAATACAAAAAACAAACAAACAAAAAGATGCCTATAATATTTGAATCACTGAAAATGAAAGGCAAAGAGAAAATCTGGAAGTCAATCAGAAAAAAGAAATGGCACATTGCCTATAGTGGGACAAGGAGAAAATTATAGCAGAATTCTCATTAGAAACTATTCAACCAAAAATAATACAGTGTTGCCATTAGAATGTTGAAAAAAAAGTGCCAATCCAGAATTGGCAACCAGCAAAAGAAAAAGATAAGCAAATGTATCCTAAACAGAAGAAATAACAAAGATAAAAGCAGAGATAAATAAAATTGAAAACAGAAAAATAACAGAAAAAAAATACTACAGAAAAATAAATCAAACCAGAAAGTGGTCCTTTAAAAAGACTGATAAATAGTTAAATCTGTGTTAGAGTGACCAAAATGTAAAAGAAAAGACACAACTGATATCAGGAGTTATTGAGGACATACCATATAGATCCTGAATATATTAAACAGGTAAGAAGAAAATATCACAAGCTACTTTATGCACATAAATTCAAATTGAATAAAAAACTCTAAGTTGGACTAATTCCATGAAAGACACAAACTACAAAATCTCGCAAAATGGTGAGAAGGGAAAATCCTCTTCCTACCTCATTCAGATTATACCTGTGAACTCTGAAGCCAGACATCAGAGGCGCATGACTTCAGGAAAGTATCTAGCCTCTCAATGCCTCTGTTTCCCACATAGAAAATGGAGAAAATGGCTGCACTTACTGCAAAGGGTTGGTGTAAAATTTAATTATTAGTATGTGTAAATTGCTTAGAACTGTATCTAACATAAATATTATAGAAGCATGTTATTTTTATAAAATTAAAACACTAAAATACACTCTTGCACAGTATATGTATACACATACATACACCCGTATATATTTGTGAGTGTGCATCTGTGTATATGGTAAATGCATAGAGAAAAGCCAGGAAATAATATTGTAAACATTCAGGATAGTGTTTAATTGATACAGGGTTGGAAAAGATGACTGGGATTTTTAAACCACTTGTTAAGAGGTTCAACAGTCTCGGTAACAATGTATCTTGATCTGTACTGCAGATTCAGGGATGTTTGTTTCATTGTGCTTCATAACTTACATGTATCTTATACACACTTGTATACATCAGATGCTTCACAATACAAATATGAAGGCAGAGCAAAATATAATCTGATTTCATTTAAAAATGTATTAAGGGTGTAATTACAGAGCAAGCCCAACATATGTGTGTGTGTATGTGCTTATATATATGTTTGTATGAACATCTGGGAAATTGGGAAAGTCCACACATCAACAAGAGTTACTTCATCAAAATGGCATTAGGGTTGGAGTAAGAGGTACAGGTCTTCTTGTAACAAATACATTAGCTTTGTAAATGCAAAATATCGAAAGAGAGACAGACTCAGAGAGAGAGAGAAGGGGCGGGGAGGGGGAGGAGAAAGGTCAAATCTAAGGCTTGTCCCCCACACTTTAAGACCCATCTAAATAATGTGAATATTTCTTTTCAAGGGAATGTGCAAGTGATTATATAACTACACAATTTCTTTGGTTCAATTTTCGGGTAACTATCTTTGGAGTATTCATAAAAGGATAACTACAGTGTAGTTTAGTCCAAAAAGGTTCTCTGTTTTTCAAGCTCTAAGAAAATTAGACCATAGTTTTCAGTTATTTCTGAAATAACAGTGATTGCACTGAAAACAAAAATATAATCACGATGTCAGAATACCTGAATTTCCTGAGAATAGTTGTTATAAATATAAACTATAGAAACTATTGTATTTGTATGATTGCACCTTATCTAGAAATGACATTTCAGAATGTCCATTTTCCATGATTATAATAAAGTGACTAAAATACGGCTCCGAGTTAGAGGACTCAAAATAAAACTGTAAACTGCACTTTTCAATACAAACTGCAAGACCAGGCATGGCATCATCGAGAAAAAAAAGTTTTAGATTTTAATTTGCAAATCAGTGGAGTAAAAACTTTTAATAGAACAATTCAATACTTTAATGCTTCTATTTTTGATCTTGCAGTTTCAATAGAAAATGTAAAACATATTCAATGTACATGTTTGCAGTACCTTATGTGCTACCATTAGAGAGCCAATGAAACAAAATCTGATTATACTTTCAGTATTGGGTGCTTCTGAAGTGGGCCCATTTCCTTGATGATCTGCACCACTGACCTCTCAGGATCTTGGTGGCCTCTGCTCATGCCTGCCTGCAACCTTACAGGCAGAGGGTATGTCTGACTTTTGTACCCCCACAGAGCCGGGAACAGTGGCACCCACCAAGCAGTCCCTCACTCAGAGCTGAACTGACTTTGAAGAACCACCCTGTAACCTACAAGTGGAGTAGCTTTAAACCTTGAGCTATTTTAGAATCAACATAGACATTATATATTAACGTACAGCTGAGCTCATTCAATTATATAAAATACAAATTAAAACATATTACAAAATAAATATTTCCCATGAAGGTTTCCTTAGCAAGTCTTTGCATAAATGTATTGCTTCCCTCCATCCAAGGTAACAAAATAAACCTGTAGGCTTTCATCCACAGGCACTCTCTCAAAATACCAATAAGGAAAAAAGGAAAGAAAGAAAACATGGTTAATAGGGCAATAAAGAAGAACTTCCTCAGAAGGTATGCAAAGCTGATGAGATGCTTCATTGAACAGACCTTTAAAATGAAAATTCATTAATCTGAATTTTTAGCAAGGCTGAAAACCAAACACCTAAGCTAATCTATATTTTTTTAACTACACTGCAAAAACAAATCAGCTTTTAGCAAATGAAAAATTAGAATAAAAATGAGATAGGCACTTAAAAATAACAAAGTAAGAATTGGAATGGAGAAAAAATGGATTAAATCAGTCATACCAATAGTAATCACTATGTGGAAGAAAGTACAGGAAAATAAGAGCTTGCTTTCTCAAGAATTTGAAAAATATCAGGCGACCATTCAGATGTACCTCTGGCCCATGTCTCTCCTGGATGAATATTGGAGCACTAAGTTTCTCTTCTTAAAGCCCAGAATCAGAAATATACTAACGCATAGCCACTGTCAAACCATGCAGTATATTTAAAAGCATGTTTTTGATACTATAATATTTAATGTTACATTTAGCCATGTTTTTCAAAATTGGTAGTAATAATTAAGATGAATTCAAGTACAATCTATATTGTCAGGATTTTGGTCAGAAGAAATATAACATCAAAAAATATAAACTTGTAACAACTGGTAATGTCTCAAATTGTCCCTGTGTGGGGCTGCATAAAACGAAACTATATTTATAAAGCTATAGCTCAAAGTGCTCATTTGTATTTTTAACCAAAATGATTTTAAAGCCAGAATCATATTTGCTTCTTCATCTAATTTTCTAACCAAAGTCTGACTGAGGTAACCAAAATGATTTTTTGAACTTAAAAAAAATGTATAACACCTTTTTGAATATAGGTGCTCAAAGAACTCTCAAAACAGTTCAGTTATGTAACATGTCTCTTTTAAATTAAGATCTGTAAGAAACGGTCACACCACCTACACTGTTAGATACAACTCCAAAAGGAAATCAAAGTGAGAAAATGGACAAATGAGATGATACACAAATATTCCTTTTGTTCTTAGTATACTTCAGATATATCAATTTAATTATGATACATGAAACAAAACCTACCGGAAATGATTTTTCCTTTTGGCCCATGCCATTGGAATGACGGGTCTATCAGTTCTGAATTCCGCAGCCGCTGGGTCACACATAACACGTGAGGGCTCTTTTGATGGAGCAGAACATATACATTCACTGGAAATACAATGTTAAAAGGGTCCAGTAATATTTCACATGCTTACATGCTCCACAGTGTCTTACACTGTTGCAGTCTGGATTACATGTTTTCATAAGTTTTCTTTGGATTATTGCTATTGCTTGACAAGAACAAATTTCATTTTATTCCATGTAACTAATATTCCAAAATATACCATGTATTTTTTGTGTGTGTATGTGTGTGTGTGTGCCTCAGTCTGAACATAATGCATTAGTCTTTTTTATTCAGAGTTCACATATACTAATTTATTTTATTCTCAGGATATTATTTTAATTACAAAGTATCAAGGGGCCGGCCGAGTGGCTCAGTTGGTTAAGAGCTCACTCAAGAGTTTGAGCTCTGAGCAACAGCGGTTCGAGTCCAGCCCGAGCTGAGCAGC